CACCGCGCCGCCCTCCGCGCCGGCGGCGCCTCAGAAGCGGGTTTCCGCACCAAACGCCCCGGGGTGCGGGACCGAGGTTATCCACCTCGCTTCTTAGAGCACGTATTGCAGTTGTCCGCTTCAGTGAGCACAGGCAAATTCCTATTTCATCCCTTCGGAGAAAGCATTTTCGTTAACTATTAGCGGAGTGGCCCAAGGAGCAACGTCGTTTTAAAAGCAATGCAAAATAATCCAGATTAACTGCTTTTTTCCCTAAGGAACCAACTGGAAAGGCTGCAGATAAGATTATCTATTCATGTGTTTTCAGTTTGCTTATTCTGCTCCGGCATTTTCAGTCTTTTGCTTGTTCCTGTGGTCAAATACCCTTCATTGCTGTCCCTCTCCAGGAATAAAACAACAGTTGTGGTTTTTTTTCTTTTTGTAAACGAATTACATATCAAATCGGTGATGTCTTGGTAGTGTCATGTAAAACAAAATTATGTCTGCTTGCATTAGAAATAACGCGATTAAAGCACATTAGAAATAATGTAAATAATCTGACTTATTTTCACACTCCCGTTTCCAGGTTCCTTTGCATGCCATGCAATAAGCGTGTGTGTTTGCAGATTTCACAGGGAAATGTTTAATTCTCTAAACATACAAACCTCTGCCTTGTAACATTTTAAATCAGATTACATGGAAACACATACCGGGTCGAGGCATTTTATTTACTTTATTTTTCAGCGACTGTATTTTGGACCACAAAATTTGAGTGGCTCTTGGGCTTACAAAGAATGCAGGACCCAAAGCATGAAACGTGATCACACAAGTATGAACAATGACTCCACTCAACCACATTACTTGACAAATGCAATCTTAGTTCAGAAAGCACCAGCTATAGTTTGGATACTTGCATGAACACACATGCACATACCTATATTATATCCTGTATTTCTGTTTGCAGGAATTTCCTGGTCCATTGAGTATTGCTGTACGTACATGACCAGAAATCCAGTAGTGAAGAAATTAAGACAGAGTGAAGTCTCTGTTTTGCACTGCTGAAGTTTTGCCATTTTTCCATAGGCCCAGAATTTCATCCAGTGTAGTTGTGAAGCTTCTAAGATAAAAGCTCCTTCTTCAGAGAGGCAGACGAGGAAATGAGGTTTCTAGATACATGCATTTTTTGTGTAGTGTATGTCCATACAAAGTGATTATAGTTCTAAATTTGGTTATATAGCTCTACAGCAAAATAAAATAGCATGTAGACTAACTTTATTCCTATATTTTTAGTAGATTAATGGGTATTAATAACCAAATAAATAAAACAAAAATATTAGATACAAATAATCATTTCATCTCTCTGTATTAATTCTCTAATTAGGACTTTTCTAGTAATCAGGGAAGTAAATGGGAAGATTTTTATCATTTCAGTGGGATGTAGATGCAACGGCAACAATAAATCCTGTGGATAAAACATGCTACGAAACAGAATCTTTGCCTTTTTTCATAGCTGTATTGACTCTGCAGTGGCAATGAAGATAATTTTTGTAACTAAAACCCATCCAGACGTGACTAACTTACGGAGCAAATACCAAAAAAAAGTTGCCATTTGATGCTTTTACATTTTAAATTAAAAGGAAATAGACGATTTAAGGATCATTTTTTTCACTCCTCAATGAAGAGAAGCTCATGTGGACTTGAGTTTTGTTTTATATAGGTAATAATAAATTATCTCAGTAAACATAAATAATGACATTTTCCTTCAGTTTAGAGTTAAAATACACCTAAAGTATTTCACAAATAATTTCATATTCTAAACTGTACTGACATTTAAGTGAACAAGAGTTGTTAAAACTGTGAGCCAGATTAACAGCAAATTAATCACAATGAAACACCAAAACTAATAATGCCTTCTAAATATCAAATCAGAAAGACCAGCAGAGATGGTCCACTTTTCTGTTACAAATCTTTGATTTGATTCAAATCTTTGATTTGTCGTGGCTTTTGCTATTAACAGCCGCAATTATGCAGGGACTTCAGTATATGTTTGAAATACTTTGCAAAATCAGAGCCTGATTTTTGTTAATTTAGATCTTCAATCATTTGCATATATCATTTATTTAATATTTAAAAATTGTATTCCGTTTGAATATAATTAAAACAACTTATTTAATAATTTCTTGTCCCTGTTGTCTATCCAGGATATCACAGAAACACCAGGTCTCCAACACATGAAAGCCAAGATCTGTCTGAGAAGTTCAGAAGGTGTGCTTGAATAGGAGCAACTGGATCAGGTATTACTCTAGCGAAGAAGAGGTGAACTTTTGGGAAGAATGGTAGAATGGCATATTATTATGGAATTGGATGAATTAAAAGAACATAAGTTTTATTACAGGCAGTGCTGGCAGTCCTTTCTGAAAGCTGGGGAAGGCTTTTCAGTAATATTTTCACCTTTGCTCAAAAAAAGTTTTCTGCCATTGTTTTCAGAGGATTCTTTTGCCCCCCAATGGCCAAAATACAGGATTCTTTTTAAGTATGAAAATGCGGAAGACAGAATAACAAGCACATTTATTCTTGAATAATTTCAGGTGTGAAAGGACAGGAGCAATCTGTTTCTGATCTTTCAAAATCATGGACCAAATTTTGCCTTTCAAAATATCTGTATTATATTTCTGAGGCTCCCATTCACTATTGCAGCTGAAAATGTGCTTTTCTTTCTGTAATCCATGGAGCACTGATCTCCTACAAGACTGCTGATGAAATGACTGCAGGCAATTAGAAAGTGCACACACAATTCCACATCCCAAATTACACAAAAAATACATTTTACAGAAATCACATTTAGTCTAATTTTGATTTGGTTGTAAATGGAAGCTACTGTGGCAGTACTGCTTAGCATCGTCTGTTGAGTTTTCTCAGAAAAGCCGGGTGATCTTTAGACTAAGAATGCTCAAAAGAAATTGCTCTGTGTAATATTCCCGGAAAGAAATTGCAAAGAGTCTTGATAAAAATTTTACCTTATGTTTGTGTGCCTGTGGGTGATATCAAATCAACTGCTTTATTAACAGTAATCAGAGAAGCAATTCACATACCTGTACATAGGCATCCTCTGTTTTGCCAGAACTAGCAACATTGGAATTTCTGATAATCCATCTTTGTTTTTAGAAAGCATTCACTTCACTTCAGCACAGTGGGTATATCAACTTAATGTGATTCCTTTCTTTATCCCCTCTTCTGAGTGGGGAAAACGTTATGTGTAATTAATTTTTTGTACATACATACAACTTGGGTTTATTAACAAAGATAAAGAGGCTGACAGAGTTTGAACCCGGCAGGGAAATTCTGAAAATTGAGGGAGTGTGTATATCCCACAGGAAATTCCAGCCTTAGATTGTCTCTGGAAAAAAAGATCAAATTAGCTTTTTTTCTCCTGACTGTAGTTCTGTTGGGTCAGAGGAACAAAGCTGTCACTCACAGTCCAAAGTTTCTCTGTGTGTCTGTACACATGCGTGGTAGTGATTGCAAGGATGTGTGTGTGAATTTGGGATGGAGAGGAGCTGCACCCTTGGTGGGAATTTTTGCTCCGATGCTGAGATTCTGAGCATCACCATAAGCTTACAGCACGGCTAGTGCCAGAGGGCATGCTGATGTAGAGATGCTCTTGTTGGTTACAGATCCTCCCTACTGGGGAAGTCACCAATGGACTGTAGACATTTATCTGAGAACAGCAAGGAGATCTCCAGCCCTAGTTCAGAGCCTGACTCCCTGCTGCCTTCTGCAGCTGGCAGTAATTCTTGCACACCCTCCTCAGCTGGGCAGCGGGCTGGAGCAACTCCTGGAAGACCGGCAGCTGCAAATGCCGCTCGGGAGCGCAGTCGGGTACAAACCCTGCGCCATGCCTTCCTAGAGCTACAGAAGACTCTGCCCTCTGTACCACCTGACACCAAGCTCTCCAAGCTGGATGTGCTGCTCCTGGCCACCACGTATATCGCACACCTCACCCGTAGCCTTCAGGATGAGGAAGAGTCACCAGGAGAGGGCTTGGGTGCCCTCCGAGGGGATGGATACTTGCACCCTGTCAAGGTAGGACAGCTGAGGAGCAGCTTCCACCTTCTATCAGTGTATTTAAATTGGTATTACAAATATGTAGATTTCAAGCTTATTTGCCATGCTAGGATTAATACATGAAAAAACTGCCTGAGCTGAGCGTTCCAGAGTAGTATAACCCTTGTATCTGAGTGCTGAGGGCCTGACTGAAATATCCTGGAGCTCACTGGCATTTTCTCTCCAGCTTCAAGGACTTTGCACAAGAATATGAAATATAACAGAAGCTCAAGCCCAGTGGGACTTGATCCCTTGGAACTGGAGGAGGAGGGCAGGAACTGAGGAATACCAGTACCCATGTAGTCTTTGTGTTAACACAAGTGTGGAAAACTAGTCACAAAATTCATCAGAACCCATTCTAGGTAATAACTGTGATTGAGGTAATCAGCTGTTTCACAGCAACGATCCCAGTTGTGGTAGTGCTCGGCAATGTGTGCAGGCCTGCTTTGTTTCTCCTGTTGAGCCAGCTGAGATATGAAATGTGACATTAATTGCTGGCCACATTTTAACTCCTTATATAAAAGAGCTTTTCAGACACATTTATTTCATCTAGTTTGTATATGCAGTTATTTTTCTTCCCTTCATCAAAAAAAATTCATGGAGATGTAGAAAGAACATGGAAGGGGAAATGCTATTAAAGAGTACCTGGGGATGAAAACTATTTTCAAATATATTGCTCAGTGACTGATGTGACTCTTGAATACCATGAGGTATTTTCTTTGGCCCTGATCTCAGGGAGCAAGTTAGAGCGCTGTTTTTTTTTTTTTTTAAAGAGCCTGATGAATTCAGAATGATTTAATTAAGATTAATCTGTGAAGTAATCTCTAATTCCCATAAAGTGACTAATTCACAGAGAGTTCCTTGTTCACAGTAACTTCATGTAAATACATATTTAAAATTAAAAGCATGATGTGAGTGGAGGTTTCTTAGGTAATTTAAATGATTAGCAGACCCATTAAGAAAGCAAAACCTTTAAATAAATTAGAAGATGGCTATATTTCATAAAATAATAAATACTGTAATGTATTTCAAAGTAAGTTCTTGGGCTTCGGTGAGTTTGCTTGGGCAAAATGAGTGGACGCAGGTCTCTTATGATACTTTTTAATGACTGCCAATTATTACAGGTAGAAAAATACTCTTAACTAGTTACTAAAACAGTTAAATTATCCAGATGCAACAATTCCCAGACTACTGGAATAAAGCAATAGTTGATTCATTTAGCAGTTATTTTTGCTAATCTTACTTAATGTGTCATTTACTTATCTTTAGTTTTGATGAAGTACAGGTTGAAATCAAGATCCTGTCAGTCTAATCAGTGTTTCTAATATTCTTGGTAGCAAATTATTTTTTTTTTAGTTGGAACTAGAACCAAAGTGTCACAGATAAATCATATTACATGCTTCAAAAAATCAAAGTGCAGGATATGAGGAAAACAGTACAGATAAGAACTGTAACTATACATTCATATATTAACCATGATAAATACAAATAGTATGAAAACTGAAAAGCCAAGTACAGTTATGCGTACATCAACTGAGAGACATGGTTTATGACTTTAAACTAGCTAAGTCACAGATGTCTTATTAGTGACCCAATTCATAACACCAGACTTGCACTAAGAATATTGAATGAGACCTTACAGTCTTTCCCAGTAAGAAGTATTCTGCTTTTTATCTCTTGAATAGAAGATTTGAGATTTAATTTCAGTACAAAAGATTTAACGAGTGCCTTTACACTTCAGTGTTACCTTCGTGTCAGACCAATACTTATTCTCCTATTTCCTGCTTTTATAACAGAAGTCAGTCATTGATTTTGATGCTATAACAAGAATAACTAAGGTAGTTCAATGGATGGGACTACAGTCATTCCATTATGAGGAGTAAGACATCTCACTGCCGCTCCTGGAGAGCATCCTTGCACACACCAATTAACATATGATGTGGGAGGAGCCATCAGTGAAATAATCAATGCATCTCATTGAGGGACTATAGCACATATACTAAGAATGAGAGAAATCTGGGTTCACAAAAGTCAGGTCCAGAAGAAAGGTGGCAGCCTGTTCCCAAAAGTGACTTGTAAAAAATGGCATTACCTGGAACAGTAGCTACAAAAATAGGTATTTAATGCAATTAATTGATTATTCCAATAATCAATTAAAAGGAAAAACAAATTGTTTCATTTCCTGAAACTGTTAGAGCTGATGAATGACAAGAAGTTATCAGTGATGAAAACTGTCAAGGAGCAATTATATTAGATTCCCTTTCATGCCGTTGCTTATCAGGCCCAGTCCTGCAATCAGTATTGTGTGGGCAGGTTGGAACGAGCATGTGGATATATAGATGCTGCAATCTGTGCAAACACTGGGGTGTAGCCAATGTTGTAAATCCCAGTAGTATCCCTGTCACCATAAACAGGAATGCTTTGTTTCATTTTAGTAACAGAGCGTCTGCGATACAGATTCCTATATGATGACACATCAGTACGATTTACAACTGCTTGTTGGTTCATGAGAATTTTTAGGAACTGTACCTTACAATTTGCTACCTAAGAAAATATCCATGCTGTTGCATTACACAGTTTCTAATAACTTTTTTTTTTCAATAAATGACATCAAAATTTTGGTGATAGCAAGTTTCCTATTTTCTGATACTGTGATTTCATTAGCATTTAAAGCTTTGCTTTTATAGCTCAGAATTGCATTCCGACTGCAAAGATCCTATATATTTCAGCACTGTGCTTGTCTTTTGTCTCGCAGAAATGGCCAATGCGATCCCGGTTATACATTGGAGCTACAGGGCAGTTTTTGAATCACTCAGCACAAGGAGAAAGTGCAAGCCAAGGAGAAACATCAACAAATTCACAAATCTAATCTCCCTTTTCATTAAAAAAAGTTATTTATTACATCATATGTATTTAAGTTAAAAAGCACATCTGCAGACAAACTGTAATTATTGAAGTACTGTTTATGGATGAGAAGGAACTGATTCTTAACTGCAATTAATGCCTCACTAATTTAATCTGATTTATCACTGGTTTCTGGTTTCTAACATAGAAGGGATTGTTGATACCTGAACTGAGGGATTAAGGGAAGGCTGTTGCACTCAGCACCGACCCATAAAGCAGCGACAAAGGCAATACTGCTAACAGAACAGGTATTCTCATCTGCTCCAATGCAAGAAGTTCATCGGTACGCTGTAGAGAAAGAGGGGAGATGCAGCACTGGCTAAGTATAGTGCATTACAAGCTTTGATGAAAAGCAAATGGCAAGCAAGTCTAAAAATGCCAATCAAAATGCCACATATACTTTTTCACTGCTTGAAGCCAATAGCAGAAAGCTCACTGACTGCAGTCTGGTGAGAGCCTCAGCCTTCAGATAATCTCAGATGTATGTAGGTTTTCTTCAAAAATGTGGATGCATGCTCACTCTAAGTAAAAATGTGCTGAAAACTGTCCTACGTACATGCAGTGTTACATGCAACAAACACTAACTGCTTTGTAGATGAAATGTAGTTATATAAAGTAAGTATTGCTTGTATTGATTCATATTAATGTGTCGCATGTTACAGGGTTCAAAATGTGTTTTAAGCGTTAGTTCATACTACTGCTTGCCTGTTTAGGTACCAGGATTCATTTATCTTGTTTTTCATGAGGTTGATAACATTCAAATAAATGAGCCTTAATACTTGGCTTGCTCACAGTACATTTTTCACTTAAAACATCTTCCGTGTATCGGCAGAGAAGTTGAAACTAATGCACAAATACCATCTATTGTGTCTGTTCTGCAAAACCTTGTACTTTTCACACAGTTTGCTGTTACTGCTAAGGTAAACATTTCATTAAATATCATTCAGTGGACATTATATACTTAGTTGCAAAATCGGTTATCACCTTCATTTCTCATTGTACAGGATGAACATTGTGCATTTTTAGTAACTTCTTGCTGAAGTCTTATTTACAATTTAAGTTTTATAGTGACATTTGACAGAAGATGAATTATCGGCAGGCATAACGTTTATAAAATCATTTTGTTGCTTTAATTCTTGAGTCAAAATTGTGACCTCTTTCAGAGGTCATTATAAGTTGAGTGTTCAATACCACAGAAAATCAGGCCATGAGTATCAGAACATGTATCCAAAATAGCCATTAGAAATGGTTGCCTAAACCATCTAGGACATGCGAGAGAAGTAAAGTATGATAAAAGGGTATGGTAAGATCAAGAGACCTCCTCCACTCCTGCAGCTTTCTGAGTTTTGACAAGTTAATTCTTTAAAAATATAATGCTCTTAAAAATTCTTGGCATATATTTCTTATTTATAATTGCAAATGCTTTATTAAAAGGTAAGAATTACATAGCCAGAGCATCATCCAACCAAACATGCTGTTATGTTTTGCGGGAGGGGGGGGGAGGGAAATCCTAGTTTTGTCAGACTCTTATTTACAAGTAGGTATATCTGCGCTTTTGTTAAAAGGCTATTTTGAGGGCATAACACAAAAAGACGTTAAATTTTCGACTGACAAAATGCCAAGCAGCAAACATAGCAGCAAATAGAAATCAAACCAGTTTTGTATGTAATTAAGATCTAAATAAATGACATCAGGTTAGGGAAAACAGACAAGTGAAATCCCAGTCAGAAGTCAATGTCAAAACTCCTCCTAACGATGATGGAGTAGGATTTCATCCTTGAACATTTTTATGAAGGGCTCAGTGAAGACTGCTGATAATGTGTAGCAGCAGTCTGACAATAAAATCAAAAAGATTGTACACACAAAATGTGGAGACAATAGAAAAATATGATAACGTTATATATCAGTTCTGTGCTCCTTCCTAGCACAATAGTTTCCCAGACTCTTAAGTAATATATCTGAATTCAGGCAAGACAACAAAAATTAAAGCCCAAAACCCCCCCAGTTTTTAAAGTCTTCTTCTGTAAATGTAATTGAAAGATGGTGACTGCTTACTCATGCAGTCAACATGTAAAAGGGGTAAGAATAAATATGTTAAAAATAGGAAAAGTGATTGAATGAATGGCTTAGAGAAAACATTGCTACTCCGACTTTTTCTGTAAAAAGGTAGAGATTTTTTAATTGCTAGAAGACAGACAATAAAATGGAACAGTCAAACAAGAAAAATGTACTTTGTACACGCAAACAGTGTCCAAATAAACTGTTGCCAATTAAAAGCAAAATGCTTAGCAGAACTGTACAGAAGTATTAAAGGACAGTAATGCAGAATTACAATAGCAGGTTTTTAGTTGAGCTAAAGACTTTCTCTAGAGAAGGTTTAGAGAACTAGAGAACTCTATGAGTTAGGATTTATTTTCTGAAACAGATTAGTCTGGATCATCCGCGCATTTTTATGCCTCTGCCTCCTCTCATGTTACAGAAATTTACACTAAGATAAAACAGGTTTCCTGCACCTGTTTGTTTCAAAGCTGATGTCTGAAGCAAACATCCAATTTCTTAAAAACATTTTGTCTTTGGTATACTGAAATGCGTTTGACATCTGGCACCAGAAACATGCACACATTTAGGCATAAAATTCTACAATCTATGTTCACACATTGCTATCAAAAGGAAAAAAATTTCTTAAAGTCATTCAGAGATATCAAGAAAACTTCAGACATTGTCATCACAGCTTTTCATTCAGAGGGATGTGAAATGTAGACTTTGTACTGCTATACACAAATAACCTGGATATCCAAAATATTCTGCATACAGTTCTTTTTTGGCTCATACACACAGCTGTACCGACAATACCGTGCCCTCCAGGCATATATTGCTTTCTCTTAATATATTCCCTGCCAATCACTATTTTTCCCTTTGAGACCCTTAGGACAAAGCATTCATTGTGCTTGGGTATGCTAAAGAATGACAACATTAACACAAAAAGATTAATTTTCTATGCTTTTGACTTCTAAAAGATGATTTAATGAGAACCGAAGCATTTCAGATTTTAAAACACTGGGGTTTATAGGACTGCTGTTGTACATAAGACACATCAGAAAAAAAAAGTGATTGCTTCAGAGTGAACCGTGGACCATACAGACAGACCGTCTTGAATCTTGTTTACTTTCTTAACCCGCTGGGATTAATTTTTTTCTGTTTTCTCAGTACAACTGCAATTCCATAAACTGTTCCATAAATATGGATTTGTACGTTCTCTTTCAGCTTCTCAGAAACCAACCGGGCATGAGCAAAATCTTGCAGGATTTACACCTAAGGTTCAGGACTGTGACCCTTTCTTTCAAAAGCAGTATCACTAAGGTCCGTGAATATGAACAACCTAAAAAGTAACTGCTGCACGTTTAGGTTTTAGAATAATGAATGACTTTCGATTTTCTATTGCCAAAATTAAATTTAAAGTTTTCTTGTCCAAATTCCAACAAAAGCTTAATTACAACAGCTGTTATAAAATTCCTGTGTTATAAGATCCTTGTGGCCACTTGTGCAACCAGCAACAAACTAACCTGTCAGGACTCGACAGCGATTACGAGTAACTTGCATAGGCATGCAGCACATCTGTAAATTTGTCAAGTTTCCCGAAATTTGGGTTATTTCCACTTCCTGAAAACCCTCGTTTCTGCCCGCACAGCATGGTTCAAGTCTAGTCTTTCCCGTAAGCGCAGGCGCTACTGATGTCTAAGCCTAACGTGCCAGGAGACCTCGCCGGGGGCCTGGGGGGGCAGGGGGAGGAGGGAGCCGGCGGAGCGGCGCACGCACAACACAACCATCGGCTCTCCCCGGGCCTGGGTACTTGTACACGAAACCTTTCTCCACCGCCGGTTTGGGGGGGAAAAAAACCCCAACAACCCAGAAGTAGGCAACCATACAGAAAAGCAGACCAACTGCGAGAGCGAGCAGGGCACGTCGCGGCGCAGGCGTAGCAGCACTCACTGGAAACATTGAGGACGATCTTCGGGAGCCGGGAACGAGCTGCAGCACGTGGAAGGCGGGCCGGCGGCAGCCTG